AATGCCGCATTTCCAAAATGACCCCCACAATCAATAATTAAAATGTTACTTCACAAATATCAATTAATTAGTGAACTTAGCGTGACGATTACCGCCTCATCTGATGTCCTCCGAGCCTGATAAATACATGGTAAAAACAGTACTCGTCTGACTGTATGACAAAAGCTATCCGCTGTCCTGTCCCATCTGTGGCCTACGATGGCCTTCGTTAGTGACGAAGGAAAATTGAACACTTAGGGCGAATTCGGGTGGTCGGTCGTCGGCAACTTATTTTGTCGGAAAACCGGCAATAGTGCTCGCGTGGTCAGTTTCTGACAGTCCGCCGCTTTTTGTGCCCGAGCTCTACACGGCCAAGCGAGCAGGCACCAGACTGTATCCGGTGTCGTCACTTTTGAGTGGAAGAGAAGGCCAGTGAGAAAAAAATGAGCGATAGAACGAAACCGATTCGAAGTCACTTCAGCAGACACTACTACTCGAGTCAATCCAAGCCGTTGGACATGGATGACGGCGGCGACAGCCTCTCGCTATCGGTGTCGCGCGGGCTAGGGGCGAAGTAAACTGCCGCCGTCTGGCGTTTCGTGTTCGCGTGCTGAGGGTCACGTGGTGTGCCGCCGGCGCGTTTCCGGTTGCCGGTTCCGCCGGCTCGGTCTCGCCGGCGATTGACCACCCGAATTCGCCATTAGGGTTTCTTATCTAGGAGGTGTTCAGTGAGTCCCCCTTTGAATAATCTGCTGGTGACGTTGTCGCAGCTGTTCGAATCCTACGAACAGTTCCGTTGTGGCTCCGTGATGCTGGCCAGCCAGCGAAAACACGCTCAGGTGACTGTAACGAGGCTTTGATTTTACTGCAAGAGCCGTGTATTGGGGAGTTGTTGGAGATCTTTCCTTTAACTCCGATAACGATTCGGTGCACGCGCGAAGGTGCCGGCAGAATATCGGATATAGTTGTCCGAGATATCGCAACGGTCCACTAAAACTCCCCATTGGCGAACTTTCACGGCAAATCCCCGGGTTTGTTTCGCGCAGGGTCGTCGTTGCACGTGACGTTACAATGTCGCGTGACACCACGGGATCACGTCACGTCATTTTGACACGTGTCGCTATGACGTTTAGCGGAGGCGTTGTGCCGCTAAAAACGAGAAAACTTGCACTTTAAATTTGGCGGGGGAAAGGTTTTGTTTCCTTCCGCTGCGATAAATGTAGCTGGAAAATGCCTCTGGAGAGTGGGTATGTGTGCTGAAGATGTGCAGCGCCTCGGCTGTCGCCGCAGTTTAGTTTTAGGAGACGGCAAGGAACCTAGAACTGTGTTTTTTTTTTGTTTGTTTTTTCGGGAGGAATATTAACTCCGCTAATTAAGAAGCATTCGTGCGACTACGTCGGCATGGTAGAAGGGCTTCCCACGAAATCGTGCCTTAAAAGCTAAAGTCCGCGATGTTTTTTTTTTTTATTTTCTTTTTAATTATACGACAAGTTGCTTGAGTTGCGTGCGTGCTTGAAGAGTTTTCAAAGCGACGATTTCGATGGTATAGCAAGAAGAGCAATCTTCACTCTTCCCCGGAAATTCGAGCGAAAGCCGATCGCACAAGTAGTGCGAGGAATTGATGGCATGCCGCAGTCAAGCGCCGTTCATTCCAGCACAGGCTGTGTACGGGCATAAACAACGCGACTGGCGAGTTGGTTCTAATGTCAGTCTTTGAAGTTTTGTATGCGAGTAGACACAGGTCTACTCGCACACAGGTCTACTCGCACCAACAAAAAACCTCCATGGACGGTAAGCCAACATGCTGTCCCGCTTCTCTCCGTGTTATGTCGCCCTTTGTCTTCATAACGGTACTATAACTCCTTAACGTGTTCTTCTCTTTTTTTTATTTTTACAGCGGAGCTGTTAAGGGCTAGGTTCCCTAGGATCGTGTCCGTGTATGTATAACACAAACCTACCTGGACAGCTACCGCCATCTATAAGCGACGGCGGCAAGCGCACAACCAGTATGGTTTCCGCCATCGCTCGTAGATGGCGGCAACCTTTCCCGCTATAATAGAAGAATGGATAGTTGGGCGCGTTGGTGGGAATTCATCGTAGGAAACAGCGCAAAAAACAGACGGGGACGAAGAAGAAGCACACAGTGTGTCGAGTACAGCTCCGCTGGTCTTCCTTTTTCACAAAAATAGAAAGGCTGAACTTTTTTTTCTTTTTTTACTTTTCTGTAGTTTGAAAGATTACTATTAGGAGCTTGAAGGTAATGTCGGCTGACGAAAAGTGTATGAAACAGCTAATTTATTTATTTATCTTTTAATTTAATTATTGTTTGTGTAGCGTGATTTATTCTTCCGCGTGCACCCTGCTTGGGCCTTGAGGTCCGCAGTCTGTACTAAATAAAATTGAAAACCAAACTGGAAATTGCGCACTGAGTCCCACGCAGGGTGGTCTAAAAATCAATAAATAAGGAAAGGTATATTGATTAATATTGGCTTTGGGAAAGGAGGTTGGTGATGACGACTGTAAGGCGTTCTAATCAGGGTTTAGCCTAAGAGACGCACCATATGAAACGACACTTATTTACCTAGAAATAAGTGTCCAAATAACATTTTCTTTTTGGTTGTCTTTGAGTGCTGCGAGAAAGCCGAATCTCTTGCACTGCCTCCCGCGTGTGCAGATCCTCCTGCCCCTTGAAGAGATTTTCTTGCTGCACGAGGGCAAAAGCGGTCAAACTATCGACCTGAAACTCTGCACTGCTAATTAAAGAGTTCATTGCATCCAGCTTCCGCGCTAAGCGGATTAACATAGGGGCGGGGCGGTGCAGCATATTCGTGTAATTAGGAAGTTTTTGTGCATCGCTCGGTTAGCTCCGATAACTGTAGTGTATACTTGCCCGACGCCTTTGCGCATGAACCGAATCGTTGTCGCGTGTCGTTACCGGAGCGCGAAAGCGATGTACTGAAACTCCTTACTGATAGGTCCCAATTTGGCCAGTACGCTTGCCCGCTTTTAGTTCACTATCCCGTTGATTTACATATAGGTAAGTGCAACATTGCGTAAGAAAATAGATTCACTACTTATTGTATTGCATACCACAGAACGATTTTGTGACTCGGCGTTGTTGCGGCTAATAAATGTGCGACAATTATTGTGTTCGACAATAATTAGTACGAGTAAAAGTGCGAAGTAGCGCCGTATATCTAGTTCGGTTTATTCGCGCGTTCACACTGGAAGCGGATCCGCGCGTTCTCAACCGCAAAGCGGCTAGGATCGAGCGGCTCGAGCTCGTTTTTGCTAACCACTTCGGGACCGATTTCTCCCAACCGCTTTCACGAACCGCAAACTGGCAACCAATCGCAACGCGACGCTGACGTAACGTCAGTCACTTTCGAAACAAGATGGCTCCCGTCGCTGGTGAGGCGATCAAGGCGCTGTACTCTCTGATGGGGCGTTCACACTGGAAGCGGATCCGCAAACACGAAGCAGATCCGCGCGTTCTCAACCGCAAAACGGCTAGGATCGAGCGGTTGGAGCGCGTTTTTGTCAACCGCTTCGGGACCGATTTTTCCCAACCGCTTTCACGAACCGCAAACCGGCAACCAATCGCAACGCGACGCTGACGTGACGTCAGTGACTTTCGAAACAAGATGGCACCCGTCGCTGGTGAGGCGTTCAAGGCGTTGTGGCCCTAGCGTAACAGCAGACAGATCAACGGAGAAACGGGATGTTCACGACCGTCACTTGAATCCGCCGCGAAAATAATTCACTAGTAATCTTAACGGGCTTCGTAGCGGTGATTTGGTTCGTGTAAGAGTTTCTTTATTATTCCGGGTGCCACAGCCCGAAGCTGGCTGCTTTGTTAGCCTTTGCCCGTAGAACGTCGGAACCCGCCCCTGATCGACCGAAATGTCAGCTTTTGTACCCACTAAGATAGTCGCGTGAACTACTGAAAGCTTTCGACCACCTCATGACCACCTCGAAAGCCGATAGAGACTTCGTGAGCCTGATTGCATAGCCAACGCACTACCGTGGAGCGGGCAGGGTAACGTTTACTACTAACAAAAGAAATATAGGGAACATCCTCAAGGAATGGAGTGTACGTACCAGACGATGCATAGGCAATCCACACAGAATTTATTTGAACTTAATGTCAAACAAACAGACTCGATCGACGTGCGAGTGACGAGAGGAGAGTCCGCCCACCGTTCGCAACTTCGTAAATAATAAGAGCGAACGAGGGGGAAACACTGGCCCTCTATCCTGAAAACAAGGTCAGCTATTCATGCGGGAAGGGTACACTTCGAAGAAAAGGTCGGAGGCATCATGTTCTGAGTCAGCAAGGGGCGCCCATCTGGGCTTTGCTTGTGGGCGAAAATCGCAGGCGAGTTTTGCGGGTCCATGTCTCTTTTTTCGCTGCCTGAACTCGTGATGCGTGCGAACTTCCCGAAGAAAAATCTTCAGAGTGCCAAACTTGCAAAATTTTGGCTTTGGATCGGGGATTAAAGTGGATATTGGATTGTAGAATAGAGTTGCCAAACGCAAGTCTCAAAAGATCACGCGTGATCGCCGAGAAACCGCCAACTGTCTCTGGGTGTGTCTGAACGGGGTCGCTCGCGAACCGCATCCGCAACCGCTTCGCGAACGCGGATCCGCTTCCAGTGTGAATGCGCCATAACTGTGTCGCACAGTGCACAACAGATATTGAAATATGAAAGCGTAGTGTGATTCAAATTGCTCAGTGCAATCTAGGCTTGGGTAGTATCTCAGAACGGTATGTACAAAAGTAAAGAAAACACAAAAACACCCGTTTACATTACTACAATACTACCTGGAATAAGTATTCCCAGGCTAGCATATAGCTTATACTTTTCCCCAGGGACACTCCTTGGAAAGACCGAATTCGACTGATGGTGCATGCCTTTCTTCATGATCAGAAGGTTCGTCACTAGACGGCAGATGAGGTGTGTATTCAAGGTGGTCCTGCTCCTTCTAGCCGTTACATTGGTGTCACCCTCGCATCGCAGATGCGGCGGCGGAATCCACACCTGGGCGGCCTGGAGAGCGGGAGAGTTCGGGTGAGAGCGATTTCGACGCTCCGACTGACGTAGACGCCAGTGACAAGGACGAGGAAGACACGGACGACGAAATCGAAAGGTGACTGCGACCTTATCCTTTCCCGCACAGAGCGTGAAACACGTGTAAGCAGAAATCACGTCTTGTTCGGCCGTCGCGCGGCTAAACCATAGCAACCGCCGCGCACGCTATGACATGACTCAGCTGAATGCCGAGCCGCCAGGCCACAGTGTCTCCCTACGTTGGTGTCCCCGACGGTAGTTTGCCTCGGGTTCAGAGTGCTTCTAACTTCTGATCGTGGTCACGTGTTTTCTAGACCGCATTTGCAGCATACAAGTGGTGAGGAGGAGCCGAAAGTGTCGATCGCCTGCAAGCGTCTCCATCGTTTAGTACGCCTCTCCGTCAGTTCTCCACCTCCTCGCGAGGCAACTCAGGCATGAGCACGAGCACCCAATCTGCACAAGAGGTGTCCGCCATTAAAGGGGTCATGAAACGATTTTCCTACTTCTTCCTCCTTAGCATTAATCCTCTACTCAAATGCGAATTATGAAATCACGTGATCGTGACATTCCTTCGGCACCGGTGCGATGACTCCTAGCTTCCACCGTGCTTTTTATGCACACCATAGAACTTGCCATTCCCCAGTGACAATAAGTTCTGTCAGGGCACTCATTGGCCACGAACGCGAATCCAAATATTCGTCGACGGATTGATTGTTGACGAGCGCATACGTCCGAGTGACGCAGTTCTCGTGTCCAATGCGTGAGACGTCAGTTTGGCGCCGGTGACGCGCTTTTGGAACCGCGGATGTATCATAGTGAAAAGGCGGAGAGCTTTCGAAGGCAAGAAGGTACAAAATAGTCCGCTATATTTTCAAGTGCTCGTACCGAAAAGCTGGCTTTTGACTTTCTGGCCTCTTTCTTTTGGCCAACTAAACGATATGCGATTAGTAAAGTCCCAATTTAAAATCATTCGTCCCAACCCAAAATTCGTTTCATGGCCCCTTTAAATTGCAAACACTCTATGTTTTGAGTTACTCACGCTTTAAAATCTAGGCTTTGTAATCGTCGGTTGCTGTGGTGACGCCGCTCGATGGTACGACGCGACGCGGTTTTTGCGCACGTGTGTTTTGCGCTTAAAGGACGACCTACAACCCAAGCAGCACAAATTTGGCCGATCATTGACCGATGCTGGCAATGGTTGTTTAGGGGGGGTCATTCATCGGCTAATGCTTGGCCGATGGCCAGTGGCCATTGGCCAATGGCCAGAGAAAGGCAAGTCATCGGCCAATGGTTGGCCATTATCTGGCCACTGGCCAAACGACCATTGGCAGCCATCGGCCAATGATTGGCCAAATCTGTGCTGCTTGGACATGTTCTATCTTGGTGACGACGTCGCCGCGAAATCGAAATTCCTGCGTTGCTCGTGTCTCACGCCGCTTCTGCTCGTTTGCGGTCCATGGCCGTCACTATGCTCGTTGTCACATAAAAAAGGAAGGACATTTTGCGCAATATTTATACGCTGCGCGAAGTAGTTCTTACAAGGTTTGGTTATCGAAGTAAGAAGCGATGATTCTAGTTATTGAAACGTGTGCGTCTTCATAAACGAACATAAAACGGAGGTAATGTGACCTACACGTATCTTAGATCAGCACACGAAGGGGAAATTAGTAACGTTCCGCAAGGAGTCGAACTTTTTTTTTTTTTTTTTTTTTTTACTACAGTTTTTTAGGTGAATACGAATATGAAGAGTATTCACTAGACGCCATTTTTGAGGGCGATGTTTTGAGCGCATGCTCATGACGACGTAACATTAATAGGCTGCTAAGACCGACAGTCTTGATGGCGCGGAATGCACATTGCAGAAGAACTGTGGAAGCCATAGAGTTATTACAGTAAACGCTAGAGGCTCAGGTGGCACAATTGTGCTGTTGCATTTTGAAGCAGACAGCAACCACTCTAAATTTCACTTGCGGTAATGCATTCCTGTGGGAAAACGCAAATGCGTTTTCTCGTCACGCTCGATTATAAGAGAAAATAATGCTCAGTGTCGTGACAAAATAAAGAGTTTGGAACTTTTTTCTTTAGAATTCATGGCGTCGAACACTGCGCTAACATAGCCCAATCAATGCACATATATAATACGTGTTGACGTTGCAGACGGCTATTATAGGGCACGTATATACGCATAGAGTCAATGCTGTGAAGCACACACAGTGAATCCGCTTGACAAAACACCAAAAAGATGCTAATATATGCAAAATCAATCAATCAAAACAGATGACAAGAACGATTGAACGAAGAAGACGTGGTGAATGAGTCACAAACTGCGCATGAATAATCAAAATAAAGCAGTAACCGAGCTTGAATAAGCCATATGCACTTTTGGAGCGCAGCTCCTAGACGCCCGTTTCCGGTTGTTCCGGCGTCGCCGTCGCCGTCGGCGTAACCGCGCGTTGCATTATGGGACGCTTCCCATAATAACGTCACATTTGACGTCACGTGTGACGTCACGAGGGTCGCGAGGGAGGAGGAGGTAATTTGCCCGCTAAATTTAGCAGAAAAAAGTTTTTACCGGGAAAACTTTTCCGCTAAGTTTAACGAAAAAAATTCCCGCTAGATCTAGCAAAACAAGCTTCCCCGGTAAAGTTAGCGGAAAACTTCCCACTAAATTTGGCGAAAAAAGGTTCCTATAAATTTAACGAAACGAAAATTTCCCACTAGATTTAGCGGAAATTTTTTCTGCTAAATTTAACAGGAAAATTTCCCCGCTAAATGCAGTGAAAAAAATTGTCCTTTAAATTTGGTGGAAGAAATTCCCCGCTAAATTTAACGAAAAATGTCCCTACTAAACTTAGTAGAAAAATTACCTCGCTAAGTATAGCGGGAAACGTTTTCCTCTAAATTTAGTGGAAAAATTTCCCGGCTGTTGAACGAAAATATTTCCCCGTTATATTGACCAGAACGAATTCCCCGCTAAATTTAGCGGGAAATATAGAGGGCAGGGGAGGAGGAGCATACCCTCCCCTCCACACCTTCCTCTCCTTCTCCTCAAGAGCTGCACCCTAATTCGGCATTACATGGAGTTTTAAGCGTCTTCCATTTTTAATTGTTCTTTTCGCTTGACTTGATAGCTTGTACATAGACCTGGGCCTTAATTTTCTCTAAATTAAACATCGCTCAGTATCGCAAAAAAAAAAAAAAAAAAAAAAAAGCATTAACTGAATAAGTTATGGCGAATTCGCGTGGTTCTTTCTGCGCGCTCTCGAGCGCTCTTTCCAGAGCGCGCGAAATCGAGTGGTTCATTCCGAGGGCACCTCTCCCTCTCAGAGCGCTCTCTGGCACTCCGTCTGTAGCCGTCGGAGTGCGGAGCGGCGCAGGCGTCACGTGGTAGCTGGACGGTGATCACGTGGTTTTGTTGACGATGGCCGGCAGTGGTCTGTGGTGGTGTGCGGGGTACGGCATGACGGCGATTGATATGTGGTTCTACAAAGTGCTTGTGCATTCGACGGCGCGAGGATTACAACGGACGGGACGACATTCGTTTGCGACCGTAACAGGAAAAGCCGACGTGCGAAGTGTTCCCAGTGCTTTCACAAGATCGTTCATCTCACGGCGGTGAATCCGCTAAGCCTAACCGACGACGAAACATCTCGCAAGGCGGTGTTGGCAGAGCTCGCCGCTGTTTTACCGGATTTTGTAGTCGCTTCAAGAAATTTTTGAGGTTTGGTAAAAGTGCGTTCAAAGGTTTATTTTGTTTTATGATGTAAAATAAAGGGAGAGCCGAATATAATGCACTGTGATTTGTATCACGTTGCGATGCTTGCACGATATTTCGCCGTGAGAAAAATTCCGTTTATTAACCATTTTATATTCGCCTGCTCAGTCGTACGCACGACCGCTATCGCTGCGCGTTCACTGTCGAAAACGCGATGAGTTGACAACTGTTTCCAAGCGTTGGCTTTCGTTCCGTTCTGCAAAAATCAATTCGCATACTGTTGTTTTCTTTTCTTTTTTTTACATGCCAATGAGTAAAACAATTTACGTCAAAACCGTTATTTCATCCCGTTGCAAGCGTAAATTTTGCTCAATCGTCCACCGTACGCTGTAAGATCGTGTTGTTTTTAATGCATTACTAATGTCAAGAAATTGTAATTCCGTGACTGGTCTGACCGCTCATTCACACTGGAAGCGGATCCGCGTTCGCAAAGCGGTTGCGAACGCGGTTGTATAAACATGGCCAGCTTTCTGGGACATGCCGGCTTAGTTCCTGACTTTCACGCCACGTGGCGTATCAACCTTGAAGGGACTCTGAAACGCCGGTGCGTCGGTCCACCGCTATCTTAACCTCCTCTCTTATAGCTCGTTCCCCCTCACACCCTTTCATCTTTTTACCCAGCGACCGCATTTTGGAAGAAAACGCTTCATCACGCGTCACAGGCGTAGAAGCTTATCGGTCAGAGAAAAGCGAGGTTTGGGGGGAAGTGTTACCTACTATTGAAGAGTCAGTGCTGTATTCACCTCAGCTGGTACTATACGCGAACCCACACTAGATTATTCTAGCGAAGAAGTGTCGGACGCTCGACCACGTGACAACGCGCCCACCAATCGCGGCACGAGGGCGCGTTGTCTCGTGGTACTTTTATATTTCGCGTGCGTTCTTTTTAGGCCGGAAAAAAATAAGCAAGCAAAGCCTACCTAGGAACCCTAAGCCTACCATGCTTCAAAAACCTCAGTCGTGTGTCTCAAGGCCGTCCACAAGTTGCAAATATATTTCGTATCGCCTTATGCGCGAGCGAAGTCAAAGCTAGAAGTGCGAGCCCAGCGCTCTGAGTGTTCCTGTTTCGCACGTGTGCCTGTGGATTGCAAGCATTATTCAAGGCAGCCTGCTTGTACTTGTACCTTTGGCTTCGCTCGCAGATAACGTGAAACGAGGTATAGATGTTTTTCGAAATTATCCAAGCCCAAGGAGCATGCTACAGTGTAATTTGACGCGACGTGCACCAGTGCGTTCTGACGTGCACACACTGATGGACGCGCGGGCAACGTGCGATTTGCTTAAAACTTTTGGTTTCAAAATTA